CCTAAACCCTAAACCCTAGCCAATGGAAACAGCAACTGCATGGGGAGAGCCCAGGTCCCCTCCATGAAGCAGCCATGAGGTTTTCATGCAGGGGTTTCTAGGGTTTAGGCCTTATGATTTTGGATTTAGGGTTTAGGGTTTAAGCTTTAGGGTACTTGACATGACTTCGATTGCCGACGGAAGTGGTATAATGCAACGCAAGGCCAAGCAGAATCATCTCCTGGCATGATTGTGGGGCTATGTTCCGGGGATGAGTTCTGGCAGTCTTAGACGTACTCTTGGTCCCTTCGGAGACGCTTCAGTTTCACTTCTTCTTTGCTGCTGATGATGAGGAAGGGAGAGAAAGCTTCCCGTGGCCATGAAGTCGGATGCAGAAACACGGTTCGAGCCCTCTGTTTTGCTAGAAGTGAAGGTCTCACAGCTGATGACAGGCACCTCAGTGAAGTTGTCACATAATGTCATGACTTCTACGTCTAGCTTCTTGCTTCTGTTGTCATGTTTTTGGTACGGTGCACCATCAAGTGGCTTTGTGCATCTTGATTTGTCCTTGCCACTTCTTGCCTAGCTTGAACGACTCGCCTGGTCCGAAACTGCACTGCGTAAGAAACCAAGTGTTTATTAACGAACGGCCTTGACCTGCATCAGCTCCAAACCCTGCCCTCGACTAGCATGCACGTGCCCGATCAACAACAAAGTAACTTGTTGATCAGTTCATAGGTTCCTTTCTCACAGGCGGTCCAGATCGCGATGGCTTTCACGGGGTCGCAGACATCCGACTTGCCAGCAGCTTGTTCTGCAGACGAGGATTGCATGCCGACAATTCGGAGGCTTCGTCCTGAGAATAAATCCCCAAGCTCTCGCCGACCCTGAAGCCTTTTGTCGCACAATCGGCTTATCCCGCAACGACAGGACCAAGTAGTCCAAGTGCAGTGAGGCTAAACCACTCCAGGCTGGCACCACAGGCTGAGTCAGTTAAATTCAAGGAGGTGTTTTGACGTGACCCGTGGGCTCCAAACTGCAGTGTTTGAGATTTGGGCCCGGTGGGGTTGCAGGAAGTTGCATTGGCATGCGCCCTTCAGATTATTTGAGTCGCTTGAGGGAAAGCATGCAGTGGTAGGGCTAGGGTTTCACCCATATCTGGCTTCGTTGCTACCACGACGACTACTACTACTGCTGCTACTACTACTGCTACTACTACGACGTTGTCAACCATCGAAATCCTCCAGCCCTGCGGCCGCAGTCCTGCTGGATGTGAGCGACAGCCCCGGCTCCGTCAGTAGTTTTGCAAAGGCATCAGGCAGAATTGTGGTGAGCTCGGTAGTCTTGATCATCATTACTCCTCATTCTTCATCAGCAAATCAGGTAATTTGAGGGGTTTAGGGTTCCGGGTATCATCTGAGAGTTCACAGAAGCCCTTGAATCCTCTGTCTGATCCTTCCGAAAAGCTTTCAGGTTCTTGCTTCCCAAGCTGCGCGGCTTTCCGCCGCTGCCATTCATCTACCCGAGGCTCCTTTTGAAGATCGAAAAATATAGGTTGAAGATTTCAGGGTTTATAGTTTCGTGTTTGAGCTTGGGTTTGTAGAGTCTATGAGTTCGCAGCCCGTTCGATCTACTCTGGGTCTCTGCTGCTTGAGGTCTCTTGCTCGCGCATGGTTTTTGGGATGCAGACTCCGTTTATCCCACTTCGGGCTGACACTCTGGAACTTGAAATCCCTGAGCGCTATGCCACACTTCGACTAGACTGGGCTGGTGTCCAAAGCAGTTTTGATTTGCAAAACCATAATTAGACTGGCAATGCGTCGGGGAAGACGCCCTAAACCATGCAAGATATGTAACTCATTCCTGTAGGATTCTCATGTATGCTTTCCTAATCAGTCCTCAAACAGGTCGAGCCGTTTAGGGTCTATAGATATTTTAGGGATGAGCGGGTTCGGAAAGCCTGGAACCATCAAGAGCTTGGACATCCTAGTAGTAACTACCCGAAACCCTAAACCCTATAAGCCCTAATTGCTAGTGGTGGCTAGTTTCTGGTTTTTGGGACATGAGAAGCAATGCCTTGCTCGAACATAGTAGTCTCGGAGATAAAACTCTCGTTGGGTGTCCTTCATATTTAAGACATGCTGGCGCCCTGCGTGTTTCTGCGTCGGTAGGATTTCCACCTCGGATTTCTGATCGGTTTGGACGGAGGTTGCTTCTATCAGTGACCCGAAGGGCTGAGAGTGTGAGAATCAACAACAACCTTGTAAGCCCTAAACCCTAAACCGTCAACCGCCCTTGGAGGAAAAGCCCGAAATAAAGCCTGCAAGCAATCGATTGCGATCGTCCTTATGCCCTCGACCCAATCCAAATATGAGTTTCCGAAAATTAGGGGTTACTTATCTTGGGGTCCTTATAATAAGGATCCTACTATTTAGGGTACTATATTAGGAACCCTTATTTTCGGAAACCCCCCGCAAATCGAGCAGCCATGACTGCCAGGCCTCTCAGACGGCTTTGGCGGATCAGGCTCGACAGCTGGAGGTTGTTCCACAGCCGGGTTTTCTTAGGCGAGATGTGGAAACTAAAGCTCGGGCAAGCTGGTAATGAGAGCTTGTGGTTTCGTGTTTAGGGTTTAAGTTTAAGATTAAGTTGGGAAGATCATGGGGGGAGGAGGCTGTCAGGAGACCGATTCGCCCTATGTGCCCGAGGAATGCACAGCTGTTGCAAGGTACCCGCAGCCTCGAGCGATGTCAGTTCCAGTTCTGTGGCAGCTGCGATATTCTCATGATGATGTTCAGTCTTATGCTCCGAATCCCGATTGTTGCCATCATCTCTGCCAGTCAAGGTGCTGTATGTAGTAGGTCAGCCGTGATTGTCACTTCTACTACGGCTATGCTCAGCATTGGGAAAGAGCAGTTGTTTTGTGTCAACATGTCCTGGTGCCTACTGCTGTGGCATGGTTCATGCTACTTTGGTGGCGACAGCAGCGACGACGAAAGCACCCTTGGTCCTGCTGCCACCTACTGCCGCAGCTGCTACTGTTCGTTGTCCAACCGTCACCACCACCACCACCACTATAGCACCACCGCCAGCGAGACCATCACCGCGGCCTCTGCCGCCGCTGTTACGACAGCCACGACATGTGACGACAATCATGACGCCGAGTCGACAACGAATTCGTGTTGGGAATTGCGTGTTTCTCAGTCGCGTGATTTCAGTTTCTGATACTGCGATTGCAACCAATGCTGTTCTGGGGGCATTCAATCTTTTCATAACATAGACCTGCCCCTGACAAGAGTACCCCAAACCGCAATCACAGGCCTGAGCTCAAAGCAAACTTCCCTCGGAGCAGCGACCAGGCAAAGCAGCAAGCTCTGGACATCCAAAAGCACTTCGAAGCGATGGTGGATTCGAGCGTTACGGTGAAGAAGGATGTGCTCCCAGGCACGCGCCCGCTTCCCCTTCGGGGTGCAAGGTTTAGGGATGTTGAGGGTATAGCATGGTGCTGTCAGCTTATGGAAATATGAGATTTCACTGGGGTATGAAACCTGTTCGTATGATCTTCCCCCGAACAGGCCCTGGTCAGCTTCAGGTCTAGAGCATGCCGGTACGGTTCGTATCAATGTGTTGTAGATGAGCCATTCAATGCAGTGTGCACTGGGTGGCTACACCCCAAACTCCGGGAAGAACTCGTACTCTCAACGGCGCACATGCAAGTTGCAACGCTTAGCACATTGAACTCACCATCACCGTCCTTCTGGAAAACGTTCACCATCTTTCACGGAAGAAGTTGTGCATATTCCAAAAATACATTGTCTGCGGCTTCATTGACTACTTGACCATGCTGAACGGCGGATTGTAGCTAGGTCGACTACTTGCAAGTACCCCTGAACCATAGAACAATCGAAAGGCCCCATGAATGTCTATTGCCTAAGCCTCTATAAGCACTATCTATGAAACATAAAGTCGAAATCCCTAACTAAGTACCCTAGACTTATTCCTATGAACCCTAAACCCCCAACCCCTAACTGACTATGTACCCTAAATAAGTAGTACATAGTAGTACCTATGAACGGTAGACCCTAACTACCTCAATAAGTAGTACCTAAGAACCCTAAATCCTAGGCAAGTTCCCTCAAGAAGTGGGACCTATGAAACCAAAACCCTAAACTCTGAATCCGAAATAAATAAATAAGTAAGTAAGTCAGTCAGTAACGCCTCTAAGTGGCAAGTCCCAGGCCTACATCCCAAACCCTACTCCCTAAACCTTTCAGTACTTGTGCGAGAGTGAGAGGAAAAGGGACGTGCAAAAAGAAAACAAACCTTTCAGTAGTTCCTTAAAGCCCTGAACCCTAAAGTCAAATGATCCTCTGAAGACAGTATCGTGGTGGACCTTGCCAGGCTTGTCCGAGTGTGAGTGTCAAAAAAACCCTAAACTCGTAGGCCTTGGCGGCATTGCAAAGGCATCTTGATTGCACTTTGGGTTTGGATGGGGGGTGTCGCCCTGCAGTGGGGCTTCAAAGGTTCAAAAGTAGGACTAGTGCTGAGGCGAGGGTTCTTATGACCTTACTACTGAAATCCCCTCTTCATGAGAGTCCGGGAATTCTGGTAGACGGATGTAGCGAGTCCCAGCCGGTTTTATCGAAGTGAATCATCCGGCAACGGGGGTTTTCCTTTCGATGCACTTTCCAGAAGCACACCAAATCCCCGATGTCGTCAGTCAGCGAAAGCTAGCAGGCAGTGGAAACCTCGGAGTCTGAGGAATTACAAAGACGATTTCTTAGGGTTCCTCCTTCGATTTGTTGTGGACTATGTGCCCCCAAACACTGTTCGGATTATACAGGCCTTGCTTGAACGATGTCGTGTGGGTGTTGGTGTCTCAGCTAGAAGCCGCTTCACCTCACAGTGTGTTCCTGAAAGTGGTTCTTGGGTTTCTCCTCGCTTGGACCTGTCCGAAGCCCTCAAGTAAAAATATAGTGGTAATCGTACCGTATCCCTTTGCCTCCCTTAACGACTACATGTAGGCACAAGCCCAAAAGCCCAAAGCAAATTCTTATTCACCCACAGACCCTATGTTAAAGCACCAAGCCCATTCTTCCCGGCAGAGGGGCCGTACGAACGACAAAAACCCTAAGGGTCCAATTACTTACCCCAAGCCCAACAACCCTAAAACCCTAAACCCCTAAAGCAGGCAGCTTTGTTGTATTTGCCCTGGTGAAACTCCGCTTCTTCTATCGCGCTTTACTTGAGGAATGGGAGCAGAGAAACAACTGCGACCTCCCGTGAGGGGAATACTTGCTGCTAAGTGAAAGCCGGCATTATCTGCGCCATACAAGCCCTATGGAAAACTTTCCTGGCGGTGATTTGAAGGCTCTAAGCATGGAGTCTGGCAGGAGACAGACGTTCTCAACGATGTGTGCTGTTCTGCTTGCCTCCTGGTGCCTTGTGGGAATCCTCCCCTGACAACTGAGCTACTTCATTTATCTGTATGGGCTAGTTCGTCATGGGCAGATTTTGCTTTTCAATTGAATTAAGTAGCTCGCTCTGTGGGAATCCTCGCCTTCGATACTGGGGTTTCTACTGTATGTATTTGGCTTAGCTGTCGAGGAGAGATTTTGCTTTGCGAGCTTGCATGGTCTTGGAAAGCAGAGAAACCTCACTTGTGAGTATAGACCTCAGCCATGCGAGAGGGAAAGAAATCCCTAAAGCCCTAAACCCTAAAACCCTACAGCCCTCAAGGCCCTAAACCCGAAAACCCTAAAGCCCTTAAGGCCCTAAACCCTAAAACCCTAATCCCCGAAACCCAAGGCACAGGGCGACGTTTCCTTGGGGTCGATGCCCTCCCGGTTCGATGTTCACATCGCAGAGAAGGCCGGGTCTACAACCCCTGAAGCCCAAGCTCTGCTTGGAGGCCTAGGGGACTTAGTAAGTCGGTTATACATAGGGTTATAATTGGGGTATAACTCCATTTTGGGTACTTATAACTCTACCTGTAACCTACTTCCTAAGTCCCCGGGCCTCCAAGTAAACCGCCAGCCCCCCAAAGCCAAAAACCTGAAGCGAAAACATGACTGGCAACTTCAAAGGAGAGCAACAGTCATTCTGTTCCTCCATTTTTACCAATAATAAAGGTTGAGTCGTGATGGAAATGGTGGCCGGCTGATTAGCACTTTATCTTTTCTGATTGACTTTGTTGCATGAAGCGTTTTAACGTTTAATGTTATTGTTTTCTTACCATGGCTAATACCATTGTTATTGTTATTATTCTCATGATGATTAACGCTAGTACTGCCATTCGTGTACTACTTCCAAACCCTAAACCCCTAAACCCGTAAACCCTTAACCCCTCAACCCCTAAAGCCTAAACCCCCAAACCCTAACCCCTAAACCCCCAAACCCTAACCCCTAAACCCAAACCCTAAACCCCTAAACCCCTAAACCCCTAAACCCTAAACCCCTAAACCCTCATCGCCCTAATTACTACTTTCAGACCGCCGAGCAGGTCCAGGATGCCTCTGAATTTGGTGAGCTTCACGTGCCTGGGAAGATCGAAAAACCTACTGCTTGAGGGGGCTGTACCGGGATATACCTTATATGGTTTAGGGTTTCGGGTTTAGGGTTTAGGGGGATATACCTTATAATAAAGGGGTCAGAATCTACTATTGCGTGGGGCTTGGGGTTCCAGCTAGAATTTAGAGTTAGGGTATTCTGTGTTCGGGGCTGTGTGCAGGGGTACGAGTCTTGAGAGGTGTGCCGTAGCATGGCATTGACAGGCGTGTCGAGCCTGCGTACCTTGCTAATGGCCATCGGGGCACGGAGAGGCTTTGATTGCATTCTACCACCTCAAACACCACGGAAAAGTTCTGGTGCATCCGGAACCCTTGAAATTCGCTATTGTGTATGTGCATGGCGAAAGCATGGCAGTGACATGAGCAGAGCAAGGTAGTATTGCAGGCATCTTTGATTGGTGCGCGTGGCTTGCTGTGCTCGTTGAAGGGGTCTTCTGCTAGCATAGCCACGCGTGCCGCGTGCGACTTCGCAACGGTGGCCGTGGTGGTTGTGGTGGTGCTGCTGCTGCTGTTGTTGCTCACATTCGTCCCAGTGGGATAGTGGCATCGATGGCTAGTAGCGGCTAGTACATGGCTCCTTTGAGGTATGATGTTGAATCCGTGCCCGCGTAGATGAAGCTCGTTTCGGAGAGTTTGCATCCTCTGTGTTGAAAGGCAGTGGTCTTATTGGCGTGTTTCGTTTGAGCACACGATTTTCGACGCTTCCGTTAGTTGTTTTTTTTGCAGCGGACGTATAAGCACGTCAAATGCAACTTTCTGAAGTGGTCCGATCCATGAAACCTGTATGTAAAGTTATAAACTACAAAGTTTAGCTGCCCCCAAACGAAATCTGAAAGGAGCAGGGTAGCTTAGCAAATGCTGTGACGCATGGCAGAAGCGTTCCGCACCCTAAGGACGTCATTAGCCACGCCATTGACGGCACGACAGCAGCTCATCTTTCTGCGGCCACTGCAGCAAAGGTGGACATTGCAGCCAAGGATCTTTGCGGCGGAAGGGAAACCCTTAGACCATTCCGAGACACTAAAGCCGTGAACGCTAAACCCTAAACCCTCATTGCCATGCCTGCCTTGTGCGACTGTGCGAGTCGAAACCCTTCCTGCCCTCCCTTCTCTAAAGATCCCAAAAGCTGCGGGCCGCAGTTTTCTGGTGGTGCCCTGTCCTTGGGTCATTTAAACCCTAAGCCCTGAAGCTACGCCCATACAGTTGTTTTATTTCAGAAGGACCTCGAACCATATGCCTCGCCTGGAGTGTCCGAGTCTGAGCGAGCGCCGAAGGCTACCCCGCCCCAATCCTAAACTATTCCCCACCATCAATGTATCACGCCGACTGCTGCACCTATGAATCCTCGCCTGGCTTGTCCGAGTTGTGAGAGTGTAAACAGTGTAAACCCCAAACTATGCCTTAAACCCTAAACCCACAGTCGTTGGGGCCCTTGGGGCTCAGCGACTCGGCGATCTCAGAACAATCGGGTTTGGAGTGAGGGATGTAATGACTGAGTGGCAGCTGAAAGAAACGGCTATTTAAGGTTTCGGGGTTTAGGGTTGCGCTCCTTGTGCTTCGAGTGCGGGAATGCCATACCAATTGCAAGCAGCATCGTCGTCACCATCGAACTCGGCGTCGGCATCCCCCCAAACCCATGTTGCTGCTTGATCGCGGTTGCTGCTGCTGTTCGCCTCATGTTTTATGATGCTTGGTTTTCATTATTCCTCTTGCTTGTTGCTACTGCTGTACGCACACCCGTCGCACTGGCCACTGCAGACTCTGCACACATTCCGTTTCAGATAACGACACCTATAGGCCACACACCTGGCCATACCGTATGTATACATAGCTCACAGGTACGTATGCATGCCTCACCAAACCATCACCATGATTCCTCTGGGTTATGCGCGTGTTCTTGTCATGTGGCTGGTTATTAATTCTTGCGGTCCTCTCTTGCATAGCATCCCGAACTGCTGTGTTCAACAGCCGGGAAACGAGTTCAAACAAGGATGCCAGCCGGCACCGGACACATCCTGCGATTCTTCGACAACATACTAACCGGAAATCCGAGACCCTGAACCCGAACCCATGTCATGAGATTATGGTATATACCCCAAAACCCTATTCTAATTCGTAAGGCGTACATTACATCCTATACAAGAAACCTAAACCCTGAAGGACGAGCCATTGGGCAGTCAATCTGGCATGCTTCGAGAGACAGGAGGCCGCTTTCATGGGGTCTTTGATTAGGGCTAAGGCTTCGGGTTTAGGGGTTTGGGGTTTACCTTAAGAACCCAAAACCTACTTTTTTGTAGGGCCCCTATAAATCCCTTATTAGGGTTTACAATAAGAACCTACAAAAAAGTGGGTTTTGGGTTCTTAAGGTAGGGTTTAACAGACTACAGAGAGACCTCGTTCAAAAAAGGGTTTAACAGAGGCAAGCGAATAGTCTCTTCCCCCCAGAAAGGGTTTACGGGTATAGGGGTTAGGGCAAAAGGAAGGGAAAAAGGATATTATGAGGGTTTGGTATAGGGTATCAGGGTTTCGTCTATAGGGTTCCTTTAAGGCTTTAGAGGTTGCCATGAGGGTTTCGTACGGGACCTTTGTTGCTGGAGCCGGGTTTGTTGTGGCATATTGATTGAATAATGAGTCAATAATGAGGCTTTAAGGTGTAGAGCACTATACTTCTGCGGGCGATACGATTCTGATCCACAGATTGGTTCGGTTCAGGGCCTGTGTTTTGAGGCTTAGGGCTCAAGAAGATTAGGGCTTTTGGGTGGAGTCGATGCAGACCGGATGCAAAAAGGGATTTCGGGCTCGAGGGAGGAAGGGGCATCGGTGTTTGAATGGTTAAACGGCCCTGAGATGGCACTTGCCTTTGCTGTGCGCAATTAGACAGACGTTTGGGCGCTGAGTCCGCGCTGTGTAAGATCGAGGAAGGTCGGACATGTAGTTTTGCATTGAGATGAGGCAGACAGTCACACTTATGAGTTGCCATGCCCACTGCGCTACAGCGCCGCTTGCGCCAACGCATGATAGTTTTACAGATTTTGTATCATACATCAGGACAAAACTTAACGCCAGTGCCAAGACCCACATCAACAAAAGTGTCATATAGTGCGGCTTCATTGTTTGGGCTTAAGGCTTGTAGCAAGTTGTAGTGCCAATAAAGATATGAAGCAGAACTGGAGGCTTTTCTGAGAACTTGCAAGATTACGGTGTTAAAGTTTATGGTGTTTCCAATAGTATTCGCCGATGTCTGACAACTTGCTCCAGATTTTGCAAAATTCGCTCGTCTCGTCTAAGTCTAAGTTTAAGGTGTCTAATGACTGTGTCATTTGTTATTTTATTTGATTCGTCTTCCAGATTCATGACGCCAAATGCAGATGTTTCAGCCTATCCGTTTTTTGTTGTACGAACTTTGGACAACTATACCCCCAGACTTCCCTGGACCTTGTATTACTGTATTGGGTCCGTAAGGAGTCTATGGCCCTAACTATAAGGCCCTTGGAAGCCTAGGATACGTTTTGTAGCGTGTGCGTTGCCCGGTGCTTCTAACATGCAAGGCCGCCATCTGTTTTTAAGTGCTTCCCGCAGAAACAAGCCGAGAAGTAACAATGTGTGATCATGGGTTTTGCATTCGGAACAAGTCACAGCGAGTCTAATGCAGCGGTAACAGCGCCTTCTCAGCACGGTGGCAGCAGCACCGTTTGGCTCTGCATGTCTCACACCTCTTTAATTTACAACGTTAGGTCTCCATGACTAAGATTAGCATCGGCCTAAAACCATGCATGTAAATATGTACATATATATATATATATGTATGCAGTGCACATATTATGTTTGGGCGGCATGGCTGCACTTACACGCAGTCTAAACCTAGAGTTAAATCTTCACCCATCGAACCTGCGTTTATCTTCGAGTCTGTTTGCCTGCCCTGCCCATGCCGACACCCAGCTGGCTCCAGTCGCAGAGAGCAACGCAGGATCAGAACCACAGCCTGGTGCTGCAAACTGCAACATTCGGGTAACAAAGGGGCCTCTCATAATTAGAATAGGTGTTGGGCTCCTTCATAGTATAAATACAATCAGGAACCCCCAAAACCCTATTCTAATTATTAAGGCCTCTTCATTATATAATTGCCCTGATACGATGTGACTACCATCTTGGTTGGCGAGTCCTAGAATACGAACGGTACTCCCTGAGTCTCCGTTCCAGCAAGCAGCAGGCCCGTCGACGGAGCAGAAGCGAAGCTTTATGTGGTGCTTCTTGGAAGTAGTCCACAACGTGAGGGAATGGAGTCTAGGGTCGATTAATCCTTTGGAGTCCAGTACTATCGGACATCGTGACGATGTTCTTCCGCGATGTCCTGGAAGTATTGGGAATCCTTTTCGTTCGTCCTCTTAAACTCCATTTGTGTGCAGGTTCTGGGCTTGCTTGAATTGGAAGAAGAGCCTCCCATGCATGAAAGGAGCGAGAGGTCTGAGTAGCTTACTTTTGTATGGTTCAGCGTCTTTGCTTCCGGCCGAAAAGAACAGTACTTGGAGGCCCAGGGGACTTAGTAAGTCGGTTATAAGTAGGGTTATTATTGGGGTAACTCCATTTAGGGTACTTATCCATCTATAACCTACTTACTAAGTCCCCTGGGCCTTTAAGTAGCGTCAATTGACGTCAACTGCATCTTGAGGTGCACTGCCCTCGTCGTGGTGGGGGTGCTCGTGTTTGCTGGCGTAGTGTTCATGGTCATGGAGGCACAGGGGATTCTCGAAATCTCTACCTTAATCACTGACTATCAATGTGCGCCCAACTACATCACGCAAAAAACAAATCCTGAACACCCTTTTCAGTTGCAGTTGCGAATGCAGGCACAAAGGCAATTCCCTCAAAGTGATGTTGCTAACGGAACATTTTCTTGGACCAAGCACGGGAACTCAAAAGTGCTTCAAGATTCGGCAACAGCCCCTTGTCGTGAGCGGTGCTTCGGGAACTTGAGTTTTGTGGCATCTGGTGTCGTTCATTGTCGTATCCTGGTTCCGCTTCGATGTCCAGCCAGAAACTTCTGATTGAGCAGATCGGGAAGGAAGCTCAAAGTCAAGCCAAACCGTAGACTAGGAAGCCTCCACCGAAGCCCGACATCGGTTCGTCTGAAACAGCTGAAGAAGCACAATGCTCCTCCAGGCAGGAAAAGGCAAGAAGAGCTGCCGGTCTGCAGATTACTGCTCCGGGCCGACAGTGGGCCTCCCCATAGACTCCTAACACAAGTGAGCCCTGGGGCCTCCTCCGGAACTAAAAGGTATTCAGGTTTCAACACGGGGTAGAAACTATTCCTCTAGCCTGCGTAGGGTAAGCGACACTTTGAGGCACTCCACTACTCCACAAGAGCCGGTATCTTAGATAATACACGTGTAGCTCGAAACTTTCTGCCTGGGGATGTAGGGCTTGGGGTGTAGCTTATATACCTTTACAAATGAGGTCATTGCGAACGGCGACGGAAATGGCACCAAGACTTTTCACGAAACCAACAGTCGCTTGAGTAGTGGAGCAGGAAAGCTATGTAGTGCAGGTGTTGGTAATCAACACATTGAGACTTCGCATGAAGGCGAGGAGAAAGAACAAGAGGATGAACGATCGTTGCAATACTACACTGTGCTATCTACAAAACAGTATACTCTACGAATACTATACTGTCTTACTGCCTAGACTATACTATATCTTGCGACACTGTACTTCTCTTCCTTAGGGCTGGCAGAGATGGCCCACTGCATCTTGGAGGAAGTGCTGTGCCCTTTTTTCAGGTCCCCAACTTACTTGTCGATCAAAATGTTCACTTACCCATACCCATAACACCCTGCACCCTAAACCCTAAACCCTAAACCCTAACCCACCGTCCCAAACTTGGCTGAGTGGCTTTGCGTCTGAGGAAGCCGGAAACGACTGAGGAAGACCAGGTCTGGCACTCCTACGTGTCTCGTCTCATCATATTCATACCATATTTTATAATGTAGTCTATAGCATAGCATAGCACGGCATGGTGACATATAGTATAGTATAGTGCAGTATAGTGTAGTCTAGCATTGAATAGTACAGTACAGTATAGTATAGTATAGTATACTGTGCAAATTATATCGACGTCACCTCGATAATCTGTGAACAAATACGGCTGCGGTAGCCAAAGTAGCGACGTATCCCTTGGCCCCATATTGCTTTATGTGCTGTGTTACTCGAGACTTACAGAACAAAAACACTTGTTGGCCTTCCCAAAGCACCCTAATTAGCACGGATAGGCCCTATCTGACTCAGATAGGCTCGGTTTGCTAACAGTGCCTTTCTGGCACCCTCAAGAGCACCCTAGTCGGCTCCTTTGACCTCAAAAGTTTTGGCTATTAGGATCCCGAAAACAGCCTATCTGACGCAGATGGGCTCGTTGTTGCTTTTGAACGGCCAAAAAACCTTCTGAGCAACCTATTTGGGCTTCTTTGCCAAAACACCCTATCCGACTCAGATAAGCTTTTTGTGACCCCCAAACACCCTATTTAGCACAGACAGGTAGTTGTTTTGCTTTGGCGCCCCGAAAACAGCCTATCTGACCCAGATAGGCTCCTTTTGCTGCTGCTTTGCTTTCGGGACCCCGAAAACAGCCTATCTGACAAAGATAGGCTCGTTGTGCCTTCGCTGGCACTTCAAAAGCACACTCTGCTTGGCCCAGATACTGTCACCAGCCCCAAACCCACTAATATCGAAATTGAAATCAAGCAGCGACCGCTGCGGAAATTAGCCGCGACGTCACCCGCCTTGTAAGTATTATCATTCATGCAGTAGAATAGTAAAGTATAGTACAGTACAGTAGAGTATAGCGTAACATAGAACTGTATATGTTGTGTTTTCTAGCATTATGGTATAACATATCCCAGTCGGGTTCTTGCACTAATCCTGGCAATGAGAGTCTGTGCGCGCGTGATGTTGACATGTGTGCTGCGCTTCGCGGGCATGACACAGTCTTGTCGATCGTCGCGGATGGATTTCATGTGCTGTTTGCGGACCCTCAACCTGACATCTTCAACCCTACCGTTCAAGCCCGGCATGGCCTACGGATTACCGGCCATCCTGCGCCCACTTCAAGAACCTATAGTCTCCATTGTAGTTCCTTTTTGGGCATGCCTTATAAAATCCTTCATATATAATTGGTTAAACCAAAAAAAGGAACTACAATGGAGACTACCGGAAGCATCACAGTTTTGGAGCAGCCCTCTAATTTTGCCAATTGGCCAATTGTGTGTCGGTAGGGCTTGCAAAAACACCACATTGAAGATTTTTTCTGGGGGTCGAATCTTGCTCTTCTTGGTGGAAACGGAAAGTCACATGGTCTCAGTGTATAGAGCATGGTATGTAGTATATGCATACCCGTATGCACATGCACACACGGCCGGATGCAATCGCATGGTGGGGTAGGTCCCGGACGGTCCGGGTAGAAGCTCACATTATATTCAGAATAAGCACGTTTAAATGTGAACTCAGCTTTGTAAATGGAGACACAGGCAAGCAAACCCCAACTCCTGCGAGATTCAGGGGAATCTGCTTTCTGAAAAAAGCTTGTCCATTCAACACTATTGGGTTTTCAATGTTTCCAGGAGCTGCACACATTCGGGACTTCGGTGTGAGCACATGTTAGTACGAAGCTGTGCCAGTGGTCGGAGCACTGCAGTTTCTAGCGCAATAGGTTGTGATTGGGACAGAGCCTACAGCAACAAATTTGGTCTGTTTGCATAATCTTGCTCGAAGTTCACCGCTTCCTTTTCATGATTCCCCGACACCCTAAACCCCATCGAGACGCATACCAAGTCGAAACCCCACAGCGCATGAGGCCTATGGCGGGTTTTGAGGGTTCAGACTCGGACTTACTTCTTTACGCCGATGAAGCACCACACCCTGGCGAACCTGCTGGAGGCACATGGATGCTGCATGGGAACTGCAATCCTCGGCCGAGCTTTTGTCGGTTCGAATATAGGCAAGTGAGCTCTTCGTGTGGTAGATGTAACACTGGTGGCCATGTTGATGAGATAGGCCGTCAGAACTGGAGCGCTAAGTCCTAAGACAAGGAGCTGCTTGAGCTCAACGTCTAGCTACATCTTCGAAAGGTGTTTTCGCCATCTCAAACCTCGGCCGGATGGCTCAGGGACCCAACAAGAACCACTGTGCGGACCCATGTGCATGCACAACTCTGAAGCTAGCAATCCAAGAGCCAAAACCAAATCCAAGACCTACATCTGAAATGTTTGCCGCATCTGCGACCTGATCAATCATGATTGTATAACCCTAAACCCCCCAGGTGCCTACTATATAGGGTACTATAGAGCCCCTCGGGCCCTATATAGTAGGTACCTGGGGGGTCCCTAAACCCTAAACCCTAAACCCTACACCCTACACCCTAAACCCTAAACCCTAGGGTAATGCCTGGGAGGCCCCAGGGAGCTGAGCGCGCCGCCGCAGAGGGCGTCCCAGGCTGCCGTGCCGCTGCCTGTCTGGGGCAGCCAGGACTGGGCTCTGGTTCAGATACGTTATCATAGTTAAAGAAGCCAGCCACTCAAAAACATATATATATATATATATATTTTTTTTTATTTATCTAATTATAATATAATATAATATAATAGAATAGAATAGAATAGAATAGAATAGAATATAATATAATAATATAATATACTATTTTTAATATATAATATAATATACTATTTTTAATATATAATATATAATAATAATATATAATATATAGTATATAATATATAATTTATAATGTAAACAAATAAATAAATAATTATACATATATATATATATGCATGTACGTAAATACAGTCAGATGTCTATAAGCGCATGCGTCTTCAGATGCAGAAGTTCCTATATGTAAAGTACATTACATATTCATTGTTGTGTACATGCACGGGAACACACACACACACTGCATGCGTGCACACGCACATATGTATATATATATATATATACATACGCATATAGACATTGCAAGCATTCATGACATAACATATACACATGCATTCATGTGTACGCAAACATATACTACACAGACACGCACACAGCAAAGGCGCAGACACACACACACACACACACATGCCCATCCGTACATCGCTGCAACATCACGACGTGGCTGTTCAAGGAGCCTTGTCTAAGTAACTATAGCAATACCGGTAAGAACCCAAAATCACTCTGCTGTAAGCTGTATGGTTACTTGTGGATGCCCATCCTGTGGCAGGTTATGTTGCCAATTTCATTTGGCCCAGGCTCTGAGCTTCAAAACCATGAACTTCTCAGATGCGTGAACTTAAAGCGACCCCAATCGCAACAACATCCTCGTGCAAGAGGGCTGACATTGGCAGCGACGATGCGTTGGACTTAGAAAACCCAGTTTGCTTCGCAACCGGAAAGTCTAGGAATGGTATTCTCGAAGCTAGACCCCGAGACTTCCAAATCAGCGACAGAAGCATCACAAATATCCTGCATGTCCTAAACCACCAGGCTACGATCGATCCGGGAAATGCTTGGTATGCTTCTGGCTACCAGCCTTCATGCCTAAGCCCTTGCACAACCCTCCTGGCTGTCTTGCTAAGACCAGCAGATTTAACCTGTGCTTGATCTTGTTTTGGGGGCCACTTCCTTTGAAGGACATGAAAATTTATGCTTTGCTGTTTCTGTTGCCGGGCCTCAAGATTTGACGCTTGAAGACGGAAAAGCTAGACAACCGCGCGGCTGAGACAGACCTCTGAGTCCGCGAGAGAGAGAGAGGGAGAGAAAAGACGGAAGACATCTGCAGAAACAAACCGTTTGACCACATGCCGGCAATGGTTCATTCCATTGTAGATGTTGGTCTCGTTTATGTCAAGAGCCAAATTTATCCAATCTAGTGCTCGTGGCACCAGCTGCTATTCTACCGAAATTTAGGCGCCTGAAGTATTAGTAAGAAAGTACTTTTATAGCCTATCTATGTTCGTGCTATAATAAGCCCCAAGACCCTCGTCAAACTGTTTACTACTACAGTATTGTTTCCCTGTAGGTGTTGGTAGTTTTTGTAAGACCCCTGTATTAAAGACCCCGGTATTAGCTCCAGGTGCTTGCGAGGCTGATGTGGGTGAAAGTATTCCGAACCCTGCTCTGTTTAGTATCCCTACATCCAAAACCCTTTCGATTTAGTAAAACCGAAAGGGAAAAACCTTTTTGATTTAGTATCCCTACACCCCAAAAAAACCTGTCATAAGAGCTGAAAGTAGTGCCAGGAAACGCCGAATCTGGGGAGCGGCTACTACCAGCAGCTGGGCTTTTCCCGGTTAGGCTTCAGGGGTTTAGGGCCTTAGGGTTTAGGGCAGCTGGGCTCTTTTCAGGTCATGAACTTATAACTCAGGGCTGAGTAAAGAAGGGCTTTGGAAGCCTTCGTGTGCGTGTGCGTTTGTGTGTCTGCTCCCAGAAGCCGCAGCAAGTCCTGCTAGTACTGTTGGCCCGTGCGGTTTAGTGTTTGGGCTTTGTTTGTTAATTTTGATTGCCGGTCACTACGCAAGGTTCATGCCGTTGACGCATGAGTGAGGAAGGAGTATAGCTCTAGCTGAATCTGACTCTAGGTGTCATAGGAATTCCAGTCCCACCCTGATCCAGGTACCAGATGCCGAATAACGGATTCAGGCAATGACCTGCGTATGCCTCGGCTGCTGCGTACTGGGAGGAAATTATTTAGTACCCAAGCTTCCTCAAGCGAAGCTGACTTCCGACCAGCGTGTTGATTCAGCAGTTTTCGAGCTTCGTTACAGACGAAATACGAAATGACAGTCTAGTAGCGGTGCATCATGACATATTGAGATGCCACTGGCGAGCGGTAGTCATGTTCGTGCTCCTGAACACCACTTAACGCGCTGATCACAACGTTGAGGTTCTTAATGCGCTGATCACAACCTTGAGGTTCTGTGTCAACGTGGCATGTAGAAGGGTCGCAGTCAATTTTGACTTGGCCAATCCGAGCATGATGTAGCACAGTAACCCAGCCGTCTTCTTAATTACTTGATAGCCTTGTGTGCACAACAGATGTGACATGATGCAAAAGTGGCAACATGTACCGACACCGAGCACACGGTACAAGACCATGGCCAGAAAAACCACATGTGCAGTTATTGTCTTGAAAGTTTTGTCCCTGCTTAAGTCCCCAAATGAATGCGGCACCCCTATCAAAAGCACCTTAAAAGGGACCCCAGTTTATAGATAATCACCCACATTGCCATGAGAGACTGCCATGGCCTCAGCTACGGTCCTCAACGTTCTTCGGAACATGGAGTCGTAGCTTTACAGGTTATCCCTAACCCCCCAATTGCCTACTATATAGGGCCCTAGCACCTCTAGTACCCTATATAGTAGGTACCTGGGGGGTTAGGGTATGGCAATGTGAACCCTGCACGGTAGTAGCAGAAGTGTGTAGCAGAGCCGGTATGGCCCTACAGTCTAGCCCTAGAGTACGTAGAGAAATGCAGCCTAATAGCCGTCATAATGGAACCCTAAACCCAATCTCATGAGACAGGCAATGGCATCCGGACCCAAAGTCTATAAACCCTACATAGAGTCGACAAAATGTCGAAACCCCAATCCGAAAGCCCTAAACCAGCTTTCAATGCCTATGGCCTATGGCGTTTAGTGTTTAGGGCTTTCTTGGGTCCCTACGAAATATGAACCCTAAACCCTAAACCTTAAACCCTCCCCAACACCAAAGTATCTCGACTATCACAGCTATAGGTCCTCGCCTGGCTTGTCCGAGTTGTGAGAGCGTAAACCTTAAACCCCAACAAACCCATGAGACTTCTTATCCTAAACCCTAAACCTTCAACCCTCAACCTTAAATTCTAGCGAATCTTTGATGCGCTGGTCTTTTAGGGGCCAGATGCGTCCCAGCTGCGACCTGAAAGGTCCTCAGCCTCTACGGCGCTCCACCCCTTCCGATGTGGGTTTAGGGTTTTCGGTTTATACCCATAGGCCCCATAGTAGTTCCTTTTTGGGGGTTCATATTCCATAGGCCCCATAGTAGCTCCTTTTTGGGGTTTGGGGTTTAGGGTTTCGGGGCTTTGGGTTGGCAGAGCCTGGGTTCGAAATAAAGGGGTTCAGGGTTTAGGGGTCCTTATCGGAGAAATCGTGACTTGTGACCTTTTTGGGAGTACTATTATCCGTTCATCTTCATAATCTGTAGTTCTTTCTGGGAAATTGGAGAAGCAAGCATCACTGAACCACAGCGACTGCGCTGAATTTCAACATAATTGCAGTGCATCATATGAGAGAGAGGTTGTTACCGGCCCGGCCGCTTTTGTCTGGCCCGCAGAGCACACGACCAATGTTGCCAAAGCCTTGCTGTGTGAGACCATGGGGGGAGCGATGTGCCATTCTTAGAGCCGCTTGCCCACCGCATCCTGGTACCGGAAGCCCAACCCTGATGTAAGGGGCCTTAACAATTGGAATAGGGTTTGGGGGCCCACTATACTGCAGTTACAATAAGGAACCTTCAAAAAAGTAAGTTAACTAACCCTAAACCCTAAACCCTAAACCCCTAAACCCTAAACCATTTACGCCCCTGCAATAAGCCCGGCAACTTCAGGATTTGGCCTAGTTAGAACCACCCTCAGCTGCCACGACGTGGTGGACCGGGTGACAGCGGATGTTCAGCGATTCTGGGACCTAAACCCCAAGCCCTTAACCCTAAACCCTAAGCCCTAAGCCCTAAGCCCTAAACCCTAAACCTGACCTTGGGCCATGGATGTACAAAACCTCCAGTGAGGCAGACCTAACCTCGGGCTGGTCTAGGGTTTTAGTATTTTCGGGTTTAGGGTTTAGGGTTTGCGGCTTCAGTATTTTCGGGTTTAGGGTCTGCTGCTTGGTCCCAGAATCCAGTCCAAGTGGAGAAGCTGCTTTGGACCAAAACTGTGGGAATCTCGTGTGGCGCCCTCCTCGAAGGTGGACCTTTGGATGTAGCCAAAACCCAACCTACCGGTTTCCTAAGCTTCGCGCCGACCTGCTACACCAACCAGGCATAATTTGTGTTAAACTGAGACAGGGTGTTTAGGGTTTAGGGTTTAGGGGGCATCACAAGCATGCAGCCTACCATGGAAGCGCTGCTCAGCCATGCCTGGAATAGAAATGCAATCACACCCCAAACCTTGAAGCCTCAAAGCCTAAATCCCATGCCTGGATTGTCCGAGTGTGAGCGCCGAAATGGCATTTCAGCACCGCAAGATAATAATGAACATATACATCTTGGGATGAGCACAAGATCTAACCGCTGAGATACTGTGTATATATATATATATACACATACATATTCATGTGTATATATATACACATACATATATATATATATAACAAACTGATATATACATATATATATATATATATATGTATGTATGTATTTTTATTTATTTATACCGACATGAAAGTATCTTCGTGCAGCCCGGCTCGAGTCTGCAGTTCCCCGGCCAACCCCTCGCAGCTCGCATCTCCAGGAGTAACCGGCTTTCTGACGATTCAGGGTTCATAGGGTTTAGGGTTGCGCATGGGAAGTAAGGGCAGCCGTCGAGTCCCTTGTGAAAAAATAGGGTTTAGGGTTTAGGGTTTGTATTCAGCCGATTGGACGGTTCGCACCAGCTCATGTGAACCAGTGAGTCATGCAGTTCCTGAAGCTATGGGCCTTCCTGCTCAACCTTCTCCCGACCCCTCTCCTTCGACCTCCTTTCTCCAAGCCCAGTTTACGAATTGGTCAGGTGCAGGATTATGGCGCCATTGATCGACCGCGTGCGAGCGGAGTTGCGCCGCGAGGGTGTGAAACTGTGGCTCAAACCTTACACACCTCCAGAGGCACAGGGGTAGTTGACCCTGTCATGCACACGATCAGCACCACATTGCCCATGTGTTCCGCGTGCTTGGACCCGTGTTTTGTAGTTTTGACTTCGTTGCAGCTGCTGCTTTGCCGCAGATCCCTGTCAGGGCTCTTCCTTGATCGACCTCGGCGGCTCATACGCAAGCAGGCGCTTCGCCTTTGTCACTGCCTGCAGTTTCCATTGTAGTTCCTTTCTTTGGTTTAACCAGTTATATATTAAGGATTTTATAAGACATCCCCCAAAAATAGGTATATCACACCAGTCACTAGGTTGTCTAAGTCTAAACTTGATTCCAGTTTCGCCCCTCTCCTGTCTAGTCTGACTCCGTTTGCCTCTATAGTGACTCTACAGTAGTGGCCACGTGCAATAGGATTCTTCGGCTCGGCTACACCACATGTAAAACGGTGTCGCCCATTTGTCCGAGACACCTAGACACACCTACCGTGATGTATAGGCACACATGACTCTGCAAGCTTTGGCATTGTGCCTTGCACTCAGACAGCCACAGACTGTTTCAGGCTACGGCTTCAGACCTCAGAGCGGAATCATGATGGCACAAAAGAAAACTTAGCAGAGAGCAGATCAAAGCAGCATATGACTCCAAGACAAGGCGTCTGTCATTACTCGCCTGCAAGGCTCAATGCAGATGCCGGTGAGGTCGCAAAGGCTCGATGGCAAAGGAGTGAGTTCAAGGGGTAGAGTGGAGCGAATCTCATACGATTGCGCTGAGGTTTAGGTGTAAAGCTGGTCCTGAAGTTGTCTTTCTGGTTATGGGCTGGGGGTGCATTTGCCAATGCATGGTGCAAAGGAGCGGCTTCCACAGACTTGGTGTCCTCCCTGCTTTAACCGCCTTGACTTCAGAAGCTATTTTGCTTCCTGCCTTGCTTCGTGCTGCGCTGGCGTCAGATCCTGAAGTCGGGGCTTTGTCCGGAGCATGGTTGTAGTTGTTTCTACTCCTTACGTATGCCCTCCGGTTCGATGTGTTCAATCTGTGCATGGGGTGTGTCTGCTTTGCTTGGCGCTCTCTGGCCTGACTTTCATGAACCAAAACAACGCTGGAATCACTCCCGACCAACCACTGTTTCCTAACAGGTTCTGGAGGAGCTGCGGCAGCACGCTTTGGCGAAGTTGCAGGTGACTGATGCAACTGCATGAGGTTTTGGATCTGCAGCGATGCTTCTGGTTTAACCCTATGAGCTCTTAATCCTTAGTTGCTGAAGCCCTGCATAAGCTGGTATGGCATCGTCGCCGGCCACCATAGGCATCCGCACCGCTTCTTGCAGCAGCTAGGGCTAGGGTTATACCTAAGGCAGCATACGCCATAACTACTTTTTAGCTACTTGTAACCCTAATGACAAGTGCTTATCTTGAACTTGAGTGAGACGTGTCGGCGCCTCCTAGCCTGAAGCCACAGGCACTTGCTAATGCAGAGGTCGGAATACTAAAGAAACATGTAGTAGGTGTGTTGTTCTTTGTCACCCGGTGCCAGGAGGCAGCACGCATTACACGACACAGTGCAATCGTCTCCTTGAGGATCGCCTGCGACATGCGCTCGAAAGAAAGATATGAACGACCCATGACCCTAAACCCTAAACCCTAAACCCTCCTTCCTAAACCGCATCAGTGGTCGTCACTTCGCAAATTGTCGTTGTAGACACTGCGCCCCCAACATCGAAGCCTGTGAAGCTGCTCCAATGCTAAGGCTCCATGTACCCATATAGTAGATACTTAGGCCTTAAAGTACCTATATAGGGACCACTTTAAGGCCTAAGTATCTACTATAAAGGTACATGGAGCCTTTGGGCAATGCTGGCCTCAGGCGAAGGCTGCGCCTGCTACACCCCAGGCCACCAGCAGTGCAGCCCCGCCGCTCGGCAAGATGTGGGAGTTTCAGAAAATACGGGGGTACCTTACTTTTGGGGTCCTTATAATAGGGATCCTATTATTTAGGGTACTATATTAGGGTCCCCTATTTTCGGAAACCCCCATGTTGGAAGACAGAGGTTCGAAATGTTGCCAAGCGAAATGTCCAAAGCTGTCCTTCCCTGGGTTGAGGACATCAGACTTCAGGTGCTTGTGCAGTTGAGCGCTTTCCTGGCAGAGCTCTTCTCGAAACCGCGGCCCATTTCGAGGATAAGCGGCGGTGATATCGTCACGCTGCTGGGCAAGGCCGGTACACACTCCGATTTAGCCCCACGTTCAATCAGGACCTCGAGTATAAGTGTCATCGATTTGTATGAGCCCATGAAGGCATGTCGTGTCCATTTGGTAGATGTCTACCTCGACTCGGACCTTTGCAGCCGAAGTTAGGGTGCCCACGCCGTGCATTCCTAGGCGTCGAACTCTGCATAGGCCCGACACAATCCTACTATCTTGAACTCACGAGGGCTCTCCAGTTCTTCAGTTACTAAACGTTAGCCATACTGCAATAAGTAACCCACTAGCCCATTACTTACCCAAAGGGTCCAAGTTATTGTATAGTATATACTTTGGGGGCCCAAATACCTACAAAGTAACTACCATATTAGTACTTGGACCCTTTGGGTTAGGCAACCGGAGCCCTCGGAACTGTTGTTCTCGGTTCTCCCATCGGAGGTTCTCGGAGCCTGCCCGACCCAACATCGAGAGGTGAGGCTGCAGGCAGGAAGATCAGGGGGCCCGAAACCCTGAACCCTAAATGGGACTTTCCGAAAATTCGGGTACCTTCTTTTGGGGTCCTTATAATAAGGGTCCTATTATTTAGGGTACTATATTAGGGTCCCCTATTTTCGGAACTCCCCAAATCCTAAACCCTAAGCCCTAAACCCTAAATCCTGAACCCTACACCCGAAACCCTCAACGGCCCTAAACCCTGAAACCTGAACCCTAGACCCTAAACCCAAATCAAAACTGCAGTCCTCAGCCTAAGTTTGCAGTTGCAGGCTCTTGTTACGACGTGTTGATCCTGAGGGGTGCTGGTCCTTGTCAAACTTCAGCCCAAACGCCAAGAACATGCCCGGCTGCTTCGGACTGGAAGGTACCGTTGTTGACAACACTTGTATACAATGGTTCCCCGAAGTTCTGCAATCAAGTTGAACTTGACATCGTGACAAGTTGGTGTCGTAGGGTTGACCGACCTTCCCCACTTTGTTACAATGTCAAACAAGCACCCCTGCTGCAGAGTCCTGCAGCCGGTCTTGCGTACAAGTAAGGGGTGTAAAGTGTAAAGCAGGGCATAAACGCTGTCCAAGTGCGAGCTTTTATTTCCCAACATCCGCCATCTGGTGATCGGGTTGTTTGTCTATCATATCTGCGGCAAGCGATAGATAGATCATAGATCATGCGCGTCCCGTTGTGCTCATGCGTGGTTTCTCGAAGTAGGCGATACACCCTGCCAGTGAAAGTTGCAGCCAAAAAAATCCGGAAAACCTTCGACAGGTGAGATGTTCTCAGACGGGCGAAGAGGTTCGCCAGCAGCTGTGCAATGAACTGGGGCTTTCCACGGTCAAGGTCATCGCCGGGGGCAAGAACCTGCAGGAGTGCTACTATAGGTCTTTATGCTGCGGAGCCGTAAGGAATAGTCTTTGCGAATGATTCCGGCTTCTACAGTACAGGGTTCGGGTTGGGGGTTTGCTTAGAGGTCCGGTGCAACTCCCTAAACCCTAAGCCCTGAACCCCTAAACCCTAACCCCTAAACCCCTAAACCCTAAATCCCAACTCCCAGATGTTGGTCTGGCATCGCGTGGGGAGGGTCGTCCCTTCAAGAGATGCATCTCTGGGAGCATAACCAGAAGCAACATCTAGAACCCCTAAACTTCAAAAGGGATCTATAGGGGGTCCTAGGGTTTAGGATTTAGGGTTTAGGGCCCCTTCAAAGGGACCTATACTCTAAAAGCCCCTAAGCCTTGAGCTCTAAACTCCAAACTTAAGCTCCCCATGGTTCCTGAGATAAAGATCCTGGCTCGAGATACCTCCGTGTTTTTTCGGGTTAATATAGGCTTATGATAAATAGAATAGAGTATTGGGGGAGGGGGGGCAGGCTAGACTATATACTAGATTACACAGTTCAAGATACACATGTTAGTACAAAGGGCTCAAAGCATCAGGGATGAACGATATTCACAACGCCTTGGCGAGCAAAAGGCCTTCGAGTGATATGGCATCCAGTATGGAGACATGAAAGCATGGCGGGCCACCCTACTATAGGGGCCTAAATAGTTACCTATACTATTTGGGGGTTCCTTACTATAACTACAGTATAATGGACCCCAAAACCCTATTCTAACTATTAAGGCCCCAATACCAAATTCTTATAGAAACCCTTATAGAACTCTTTAAAGGAAACCTTATAGACTTAACTATTAAGGCCCCTACAGTACCATAGAGCCCTCTCCGACTTCCCCGTAGCCTGGGCTGCCGAGCTCTTGAGCGCCCTTCCACGAAGATTTGCTTTCGCTCGGGATTGCCAAATGTGTATCTGAACCCACAACCTATATAGAGTTTAGGGTTTAGGGCTAGGGTTTCGGGTTTAGGGTATGTATATATATATATATACAAACCCTATATAAACCCTAAACACCCCAAGCCCAAGCTGGCAAGACACCGCGAGGACGGAGCCACCCTGTCTGCACAGGGTTGGAGCGCAGATCCTGCTTGCGGGGTCCTGCGTGTGTTGCTGCTGCCAGGCCTCATGACGGTTTAGGGCTTCTAGGGTTAAGGGGTTTAGGGTTT